TTATTTTTATTTTAATATATATGCATTAGTAATGATATATATATATTATAGTTATGAGTATATGTGTTTTATTAATTATAAATAATTTTATTTTTAATATATATATATATATATGTGTGAATTTATATGTATATATTAATTTAAATACATGTAGATGAATATTTGAATATTTAATAATATTTTTTTGCTGAGTCAGCAGTTTTTTTGCTGAGTCAACAATTTTTTTTGTTGAGTCAGTAGCTACGTTTAACGACGTTAACGGATGCATGCTTGATTTGGAAAAAAATTTAAAAGTTTAGGTATTTATGTGGAAGTTGTGAAAAGTTCAGATATTTATATGATAATTTTATAGTTCGGGTATTTATTTGGAATTTTTGTAAAAATTCAGGTATTTGTATGCGATTATCCCTTTTTTTATAATATATTTATTTCGTGAAATTAGTCACCAAATTAGTCATATATTTATAATATATTTTTCGGAATTATTTATTGTTTTGTTTTTGTGTTTCTAATCGATACACATTATATAATGGACAATATGAATTTCATAATTTGATTGTATAACTAACACTTGGAATTTCATGTCATTAAATTTCAGAAAAAATAAACTATGGACGAAGAGCATCTTGCATGTGACTAATTATTCTGTGGCAATTAAAATGAGAAAAATGGTACAAAGTATGCAGCAATTCGGATTGTTATATATAATCTTATTTAATTTAAAAACACCGTTATAAGATACCTAAAAATTTATATATTGGAAATATTCTGATAGCATGGATGAGAACAAAAATAACAGGAAACAAACGGCGATTAAATTGTTCCTTGATATTAAATGCTGACTAGTAACAATTAAAATCAAATAATGGCAGTATCAAGGCAATAACTTATAAATTGCATTTTCCCACCTTCAAGACAAAACGCCTAATAAATAAATGGGAAAAGGGACTGAAGAAATTAGGATGGGAATTAGAATATCTCAGTCAATAAATCTCATTTTAAAACAAAACCATCCAAATCATATGATATTCAATTGAACTCGTAATAATAATAATAATAATAATCATAATAATAATAATAATAATAATAATAATAATAATAATAATAATAATAATAATAATAATAATAATGATGATGATGATGATGATGATGATGATGATGATGATGATACCAACAACACCATCTTAAATCATTCATTAATTATACACAATTTAATGGCCCACTTGAAGAATTGTACCACCACTAGTCTCCCTACATCTTAATCATTTACTTCATTTTATATCATTATCATAAATCTCAACTCCTCAGCTAACTCATATGGGCATATGCACATATATGCATACATATATATATATATATAGATATAGAGGAGATCTTGAACTACAATTTGTGATTACAGCCTTTGGAAAAAGAACAAAGAAAAAACACAATAGAGAGAGAGAGAGAGAATGGGTGGGAAAGGAGGGGTGGTGACAGAGAAGATGAAGCTTATGATGGCATTGATAACACTGCAACTATGCTTTGCAGGGTTTCACATTGTATCAAGAGTTGCTCTCAACATTGGGGTTAGCAAAGTGGTGTACCCTGTCTACAGAAACATCCTTGCCCTTCTCCTCATCTCCCCCTTTGCTTACTTCCTTGAAAAGTAATTTCATTTCTTTGAATATCTATACACACACACACACACACACATATATATATATATGTATATGCTCTAAGATTTTCTGTGTTTCTTAACCAAAGTTTGTCACTTTCTCTCTCTCAGGAATGAGAGGCCTCCTTTGACATTCTCCTTATTGGTTCAGTTCTTCCTCTTGGCTCTCATTGGGTAAAAACCAACAACTAAAGACAGCTTCTTTGTCCGCCCAAGAACCCTCTGTTTAGAACCCAGTTTCTGATTTGCCTTTCTCTGTGTTTATTCATATCAGAATCACAGCGAACCAAGGATTCTATCTGCTGGGATTGTACTACGCATCTCCAACGTTTGCCTCAGCAATGCAGAACTCTGTTCCTGCAATCACATTCATCATGGCTTGTGCCCTAAGGTACCTATGATCTCTCACGATAAACGTGGGGTTAAGACACATGATGTTGAGGTCTCTAACACGAAACCGATATTCTTTTTGTTCTGGCAAGATTGGAGGAAATCAATCTGGCAAGGAGAGACGGTGTGGCCAAGGTTTTGGGAACGGTAGTGAGCATCGGAGGAGCCACCATTATCACACTCTACAGAGGCATTCCTATCTTTCACAAGAGCCTTGGCTCAGAAGAAACCTATTTGCATGAGTCGAAATCGCAGAACTGGACGTTCGGATGCTTATACCTCCTCGGACACTGTCTCTCATGGGCTGGTTGGATGGTTCTTCAAGCCCCTGTCCTGAAAAAGTACCCTGCAAAGCTAACTTTGACGTCTTTCACATGTCTCTTCGGTCTGATTCAGTTTCTGGTCATTGCCCTCTTCGTCGAAACCGATATCAACAACTGGGTCATCGTCTCTTGGGAAGAGCTTCTCACCATCTTATATGCGGTAACTCTACCCTTTTCCCTTTTCCCTTTGGTTTCATCGAGGGATGATTCCGAAAGAATCTTGTTCCAGCTTTTGTGTGATATTTGTAGGGAATAGTAGCATCAGGAATAGTGGTGTACCTGCAGACATGGTGCATCCACAAAGGAGGCCCTGTCTTTGTCGCCGTGTTTCAGCCTCTCCAGACTCTTCTCGTCGCCGCCATGGCCTTTCTCCTTCTCGGTGATCAATTATACTCCGGCAGGTTAAACTTCTCAGATCGAAATCTCCAAACAAGAATTTTTTCTTTTTTCTCAATGCAAATGCAAAAGGATCAACAATATGTTCTGATTTTGTTTTCCTCTGGGTTGGTGTGAAACCAGGATTGTGGGTGCAGTGTTCATAATGCTTGGGTTATACTTAGTTCTATGGGGCAAAACAGAGGAGAGAAGAACAATGAGAAACCAAGAAGATGAATCACTTACCAAACATCTCCTTGGAGATGAAACCACAGGTGAAGCTGAAGAAAACAATGAATCTGCTGTCTGAAAACAACAATCACAGCAAAACACACACAAAAAAAAAAAACAGTTTTTTTTTCCTTCTGTACATAACACACACAACAATGGTAACTCAAAATGTCTGTCCAAGAAGCTTGGTTTCTTTTATTCTATGAAGAATCTTTACTTTTCCATTTATATATTTCACCTACATTCCACCATTTCTTTTCCATTCTATGATCTGGAAATGGAGGATCATGTTCACGTAACTAATACTAATACTGTCTGAGATTCATACATTTAGACCGAATCTACAACACTTGTGTTCAAAATTTTTATGATTATTTGGATGCTCTACGGATATTCTATTCAAAGATACGCGTACAAATGTATACACCTACATATACGTATACGTGTATTCATGCGTGTAAGCATAAACGTACACGTATCTCGCAATGCATTTGCATTAATAGCCGAAACACTGGATTAGATAATTCAAGTTTCCTCCGGGAGATCAGATAAAAACACAGATAAAATAGTGAAATAAGCATTAAAAGTACTTTCAAATGAAAGAGAGACATGAAACATATAAAGCAACTAGGAAGAAACACACACCGATAATAAACCAAATGCTAAAGGAGTTCCCAGAAATAGATTTTCAACTTCAGACCACTTGGCTGCAGTGGCATATGGTGAAATAGTTTTCTACTTTTTTTTTGTGCTCCTTTTTGTTGTCAAGACAAAACATGCGCTAGTTCAACAAACACGAAAATAACAAAGAAACAGAAACTCCATACGGGCAAGAGAAGCGCTTTCTGACCTCTCCTGTTGAAATTACCTCACGGTAACTATGTCGTCGATCTTCAAAATCATCCTTACACACTCAGTTGCAAGAGTGATCGCGCTGGTACTCACAAGAAGTGGCTGCACCACGTTCTCCTCCAAGATGTTAGTGATCTGCCCTTTCCTCACATTGATCCCAGCATTGATTTCCCCTTGTGCATGCCTGTTCCTGAGTTCAGTCACTATGGCTATGGGGTTCAGTCCCGCGTTCTCAGCCAACGTGTAAGGAATAACCTCGAGGGCTTCAGCGAAAGACTTCACACAGTAACCCTCCATGCCATGGAGCACCTTAGCCCAAGCACCAAGCTGCCTTGACAGCTCAATCTCTGGTGCACCACCTCCAGCGATCAAGAACCTCTTGTTCACCAGACACCTGACCACACACAATGCATCGTGCAAACTCCTTTCGGCTTCGTCTAAAACGAGCTGGTTCGATCCACGGACAAGAACGGTGGTAGTTCTCCCCATATCTTTGATTCCGGTGATTTTCAAAATCTTTCCATCTCCAAGAGAAGCTTCTTCGACGAGATCAGCATGGCCAAGCTTCTCAGCACGGAAATGTTCGATATTGGCAATTGGCAAGCAGTTCAATGTCTTGGTTATAAACTCAATCTCGTCTCTCTCTACATCCTTAATCACCAGAATCTTGGCTTTTGCTAAGTAGTGAAGGGATAGATCGGTCACAGCATCCCTCAAAATACTCTTCTGGATAAGCAACACATTGCAACCCGTTGCTTTGATCTTCTTTATCATACCCAGAATGTAGTTCCTCTCCTCCTTAAGAATCCTATCCATCTGAGTGTAATCAGAAACGACGATGCTCTGCTCAATGTCAGTCTTGGGAGGTGAAATCTGGAACTGAATCACAGCGATCTTAGCATTTTCCATACGAGTCGGTCCACCAGCGGCATGGCTTACCTTCTTATCAAAGACTAAACCTTTAACCATCTCTGTATCATCCACAGTCCCACCAAGCTTCTTAACAATCTTAATATCACGCAAATCCACCAAATCTGGCTTCGCCGGATCCACAACAGAGAGAACCGCGTCTACAGCTAAAGGAGCAAGCAGAGTAGAGTACTGACTAACAACCTTACTGTTCAGAGACGTGCTCGCAGATTTGACAAGCGAATCTCTATCCGAGAGCTCCACAGGGACAGCCATGGCGGTCAAGATATCTACCGCCTTAGCCGTAGCCTTGTGAAGCGAATCCGAAATGACAGTCGGGTGGATCCCACTCGTGAGAAGAGTGAGGCACTGCTTGAGAAGCGCACCGGCGATGACACCCACCGTGGTGGTACCGTCTCCAGCGGCTGCATCCTGCGACTTTGAGAGCTCGACGAGCATCTTCGCCGCCGGTTGCAGCACTTCCATCTTGTTGAGGATGGTTGCGCCGTCGTTCGTGATGATAACCTCGCCGCTCGCCGTTGAGATCATCTTGTCCATACCCTTCGGACCCAGGCTAGTACGGACGGCGTCAGCGACGGCGCGGGCCGCATTGATGTTCGCAAGTCTGATATCCTCCTTCCGCTTGTTATCGACGAACGACTCTGTCTTCGATGAAGCACGAGGTTGTGCCACGGGAGCCGCCACCGCCGCCATTGCTGATAACGCCGAGAAGCTCGAAATTAGATCTTGATACTCCGGGAGAAGATCTCGATCAGTATAACCAGAGAAGAAGAAGGCGAAAGATTGCAGAGAACCCTAGAATGAGAGCAACAAGATGGTTCTGGAAATGAAATAGAGGCGTAAAAAATTCGAAAAGATTAGGGTTTAGGATGCTGTTTGGTTCCACGGACATGAATGTCCCGATCTGGAACAAACTTGTCCGGAACTTTCGCGGGTGAGCGTTTCGGTTTAATTCCATACCAAATCGAACCGAATTAAATTGGGTTTGCATTTGGTAAAACAGATTTGACCCATCAGGTTAATAATGGGCTAATTATTCGGCCCATTAGTCTAATAATTGCGAGCTAAATGGGTTTATAACTTGTCATTATTTGTGAGGCAAGTGGGCCCGATCATTTAAGGCCATCTAATCAACCATACGCGCATATGCAGCGCGTGAATGTCCAGCGAATTTATCCATTTTCAGAAAGAAAAATGGAAAATGTGGCGCGTGGAATTTTTTTTTTTACACCTTAGCTGCTGTTTTATCTTTCATATAAAAAATACAAAATTGTATTGAATTAACAAATATAAAGGAAATTATGTAGATTTATATCAATTATGAAAAAGCTGAACATAATTTCAAAATTTATTTTTCTAACTTTCACAATTTTGAATTTCTATGCATATATATATATATATATATATAATTCTGAAAATAGTCGATATTACATTCGCTGTTTCAGAAGATCGAGAGCTCTGACAAGAACCGGTCTGAATCTGTCCACATCCACACTCACGTTCTGCGCCATGTAAATGGCCTTGAACGTTTCCCACCCACGTTTTCCAACCGCAAACGCGTTTTTCAGAACCTCGTGGTCGCGTCCATACTTCTGCGTCAACGAGCTCTCCTCAGGAGTTATCTTGTACTCCAAGTAACTCAGATTCATTGCCTTCGCCGGCTCTTCGTAATCCGTTCTTGCCAACCACTCGAAGTCACCAATCGGTATGACCTGAATCAGAATCGCGTTTTCAGGCAGAAACACCATGTTCGTCAATCCAGCACCGTGAACGCCGATCATCAAATCGCAAGAATTCACGACCTGTCCGAAACGCGTAAGGTTTGCGTTTCCTTCCTCAACCACAACGTCAAACCCCATCTGCTCAGCCATTCTTGCCATCGCTTCTGTGTTTACAAACGCCCGTGTTCTTCTCCTCGACAGTATCAGGATCCTGGGTTTCGATTTAATGGCCACCGCAGCATTTCTCAACGCGAACGCGTCTCTTATGAACTGTCTGAAATCAGACATCGTGAATCCTGACCATGATGGATCGATGTACATCTCTTTATTGTAGTCATTGTGGCGTTTCAGACCCACGATCGCGTTTGTGAAACAGTGCGTCTCTTTTTCTTCGTCTATATTGATCAGTTCGTAACTCGACAGGTTTCTGATTGCTTCTCCAAATTTGTCGACGTACAATGGATTCTTGTCCGTTACGAGAAACTGAACCTCGCCGTTGAATTTCCGTGCTGTCAGGAAGAGAGGAAGCAAAATGTCTGCGAAGCCATGAAAATTGTTCAGCGAGTAGCCTCCCAGGGAGAAAAGCACGGCCGGAACGCTGTGGTTGCGGTCGCAAAGCGGAAAGCCAGCGTTTTCTTGATCCGCGTTTGGTGCTAATGATCTTATCGTCCACTCTCTCACGCGTTTTAGCGCCGTGTTATCTCTTTTTCTTGCGTAAGGCTTGATTTTCCACGATGGGCTCTCCGAAAACGCAGACCTGATCCCAAACGCGGTCGCTGATTGTCCTTCTATCCTTACATCACCGCTCAGTTGGCAGAACTCGGTTCTTGCGAGCTTGTGACAGACGACATTCGCGTTCTTGGGCGTGTCTGAAAAAATCGCCAAAACAAAACAACTGATCGAATTCAGGTATCGACAATAAGAGGGAATTGGGTTTTTTTTTTCTTTATGATCGCCATGAGAGGAATAGAAAAACCTTGGTGAAGAACTGAAGTTATCAACCTGAAAGAACTTGTTTCTTGGAGATTTTAGATCAGTTAGCTTCTGGAAACTGTTCTTGTAATTACCTGAACTGGTCAGTTTCTGTGGAACAGTTGATGAGATGTTGTTTTCATGGTTCAGATCGGAGATAATAACAATCTCTGAATCTCCCATTGACGAGTTGTTTATCCTCAGCATTCTGAGACTTCTGTCCACTGAGAGCTGCAGCTTCACTGGACAAACAAGATAAACACGTTTCCGATCACATCTTCTGGTTTCTATTTTCCCCGAAACGCGAAAATCTCGGAGAGTACTGAATATAAAAAACCGAAAAGAGGAGCCCCTTTTCCAAGTTTTCGGGTGCTGAAATGCGAAAACGGTAAAAAACCGGGGAAAAGGGAGAGACTTACAGACTGGAAGAGGGCTGAAATAAGGCGTAAGGACGGCGAAGATGTTGAAGGTGACGAGAAGAGACACGACGATTGCTGCATAGCCTAGTTTCTTCTGCTCGTTTCGGCTAAAGCTACGAGCAAATATCGTTCCTTGCGTAACAAGTTTCTCCCTCATTTTGGATCTCTCGATCCACAATATAGGAGTGCTCTCTTTCTTGTACCGCAAGAAAAGTCAGAATGCGAAAACTGCAGAACAGTGTTTCAGAAGGAAACTGTAGACACAGCAGCGTCTTGAAAGGGCAAGTAATTCGCGGGCTGTTTATCTTCTTGATTATATCTCTAACGAGATGATTAACGACAAACAACGAACAAAATACAGAAGTTTAGGCTGAATTCCGGCTGCAAGAGCTTGGAGAAAGCTCTATAAGAAAGGATCAAGAACAAAACTTTTTCGGTATTCCGAATACGGAACGACAAAAAAACCAAGAAAAGAACAGAGAGAGAGAGAGAGACGAATGAAGAAGCAGAAGAGTGATGAAGCATTTAAAGGAGTGTGTGTGAAAATGGGCATTGCCCGCGTTAATGGCTGTCTCTGAAACGTGGGATGAAGAGAGAAAGAAGATGGGTTTGTTTAATAACCAAATGTTGTGTTTGGTAATGAAGATGAAAGAAACATAGAATTCTATGTAACACACGATGTTATGTTTTTTGACTTTGGGTTTTGTTTCGTTAGGACGGCACCGAAGGAAGGATTTGGATGCCACTAAGAAGAAGAAGAAGAAGAAGAAGACTAAAGGCATATCGTACGTTAGTGCTCCTCACGATTTTCTGTTTTGGCACTCAATTATTGTTTATATTTTTTTTAAAAATCAATTTTAAAAGGTTAAAAATTAGTGAATAGACTAATCTATAGATATTGACACAAGAAAAAAATATGAAACAAGTTATATATATATATATATATATATATATATATATATATATTGTATATATATTTTTTGTTATATATAGACTAATCTATATTTTTTTTTCTTT